TTAAACCCTAAGTATCAAAGCTGGTAGATGTGGGTGCAAGTCTTTGCATTGACACCTAACAGCTGTAAAACCCGAGGCAAGTCACTCTCACCGAATCTCAGTTATCTCCACCACTGGAGTTTCCTGACTCATTATGAAGATAAAATAAGGCGTATTTAGAATTTACCCTAAAACACAAACAAACTACTCAGTAAATGGAATTTAAATAGCATTACCAAATCATCGCTGATGCTTTTGGCAAAAAGGACAAACACCCAGGAAGAAACAATACCCAGAGTGCACATTACTCTAAAACACCAACCGACAGTGTGAGCCAGTGTTCTCTGGTGGTAACCTGAACCAGTTTCTGGATGCACACCACACTTGATCTTGAAGACTCAGTTCAGGCCTAAGCTACAACAGAAAGTTTTCCCTTATCCCTCTTCATGCACAAACGTGTCTTGCCCTTTCCCCACCACGGTACTTATACACTGCACTAAAACTGTCTTTTCACATCTATCTTCCCTCCCCACAGTCTGGGAGTCCCTTGGAATAAGGAACCAACTCATGTGAGCTTCTGTGGCTCCCGCATCTACCCTAGTGCCTGGAAATTGGTGGGTTTTTTTATGCAAGTAGGCTGGATGAGTGAATTAATATATTAATGAATTAAAGCATTCACAATAGTTTATAGCTGAGTTCTGGGGGAGGAATATTGTTTGTTTGCTTATTTTAAGTACCTCATAATTCTTCTAATCCTCCAAGAATCACAATTGGACTCATTCAATGATGGATGACTTCATGCACTGAACTAAACTATGCTAGGGTCAACCTACATGAGCAATCAGAGGAGGATATAAAGTAGGTCATAACTTCTTATTACATCATGCAAAAAAGTATGTATGAATACTGAAAGCATCGTGGGAAAAAACGAGGTCTAATATAAATGGCCAATACTAAATCTCCATAAAGTTACTACTTTAAAAATATGCCTTTTTCATTCATGAAAATATTTACTATTGCCCACCCTGTGCCAGGATCTGGGCTGTGTGCCAACGACACAGATGAGTAATGCCTGCTGTCATGGAGCCCACAGTTTGGTGGAGGAGGTAACACTTTAGGAGAGAGCCCTAAATATCTGTCCAAAGTATCAGCCTGGGGTAAGCAACAATCTCCTGGAACTACCATCCCTATGGCTCAGAAACCAATGAAGTCATCACCACCCAGACTTTTCCTTCCCCACTGAATGATCCTTTTCATCAAGCAAATCTCTACAAATGAGCAATAAACTACTAAATTTGGAATTTAAAAAGAAAACATTTACCACTGCATTGAAAGCTATGTAGGGGCTGGGGATTTAGCTCGGTGGCACAGTGCCTGCCTGGCAAGCACAAGGTCATGAGTTCAATTCCTGGTACCGGAAAAAAACTAAAAAAAAAAAAAAAAGAAAGCTATGTAATACCTATGGATAAATCTGACAAAAGACATGCAAGACTTCTATGTGGACAGCTATGAAACAACACTGAGAAATTGAAGATGACCTAAATAAATGGAAATGTATACTGTGTTCATGGATCGGAAGATTTAGTACTAAGATAGAAATTCCCCTAATTGATCTAGAGATTGAATACAACCCTAGTCAACATCCCCACAATGTTTTTGTACAAATAAACAAGCTGAATGAAATTCAAAGGGCCTAGAATAGTAAAACAACTATACAGAACAAAACTGGAGAACTCACACTATTTCAAGACTTATTACAAAGACAGAAATATAGGCAACATGGTATCGATGTAAAAACAGACAGATATATGGAGTAGAATAGAATCTAGAAATATACCAAACATATATAGCCATTATTTAAAACAAAAATGGCAAAGTAATTTAAGGGAGAAGAAAAGTATTTCCTATAAATGGTATGAAACAACTGTATATTCACACACAAAATAAATGAAACTTGATCTTTACCTCATAGATCATATTTTTTTAATTCTCAAAGTGGGTTATAGGCCTAAATAGAAAACCTAAAACTTCCAAAAAAGAGTACAGGAGAAAATCTTTGTGACTTTAGGTTGAGCAAAGATTTTTTTTTAGATGAAACAATATAAACCATAGCAGAACAAAATCAAAAACTTCCATTCTTCTAAGTACATATAAGCATTTGGGAAAAGAGTTTGGAAATTCCTCAAAAAAATTAAAAATAAGACCATCATATGATTCAGCAATCCCACTACCGGGCATATGTCCAAAGGACCTTAAATCAACGTATCAAAAAATCCTGCTCCTGTGTTCACTGCAGTCTTATTCACAGTATTTATATATAGAATCAGCCTGTGCCCATCAAAGGATAAAAAAGATAAAGAAAATGTATATATACACAGTGGAATAGTACTCAGCCTTTTCTAAAAAGAAGAAAATCTTGTCCTTTGCCATGATAACAGAATGCTAAGTGGAAAAAGGTAGTCACAGAAAGACAAATACTACATGATCTCACTTAATATGCAGAATCTAAAAAGATTAAACTCATAGATGCAGAAAGTAGTATGGTGGCTACCAGGGGCTGAGGGGAAGGAAGAGGTCTGTGGAGATGTTGATCAAAGGATACAAAGTTTCAGTTTGATAGGGGGAATAAGTTCAAGAATTCTATTTTATAACACAATGACTATAACTAATAACAACGTATTTATTATTGAAATCATAAAAAAAGTAAATTTTAAATGTTCTCACCACACCAAAAAAAAAGTTAAGTATGTGAGGTAATACACATGTTAATTAGTTTAATTTAGCTATTTCACAGCATATACATATTTCAAATTATCTTCTTGTACATGATACATATACAATTTTTATTATCAATTTTAAAAAGTCTTAAAAGCCAAAATAAAATGTCTGCTGTTCCAAAGATACAGCTAAGAAAGTAAAAAGACAAGGCATCATTTGGAAGAAAATATTATAAACAATTCAGAGGCAAACTGCAAATGAAGAAAAAAATACTTGAGATACATACAAAGACCTGACCTCCTTAATGTAAAAATGCCCTCAAAAACTATTAATAAAACATACAGTCCAATAGGAAAGTGGTCAAGTCACAGAGAATTTCCTCAAAAAGAAACACAAATGCCAACAGTCATATGAAACTAAGATTAATCTCACTCACAATTAAAGGTAAACTAAAACAAGAAGTCATTTTATAAAGAATATTTGACACAAATATTTATAATACAAAAAAATGGAAATTACTGCAAAGTACATCAGTGAGGACAATTAAGCACATAATGGTACAGAAATACAATTAAATACAGTACTGCCATGTACTCTTTACAGTTGCAATGCTGATTTCACCCTTACTGATATCATTACAAACAGTCTGAAGAATATAGTTGGGTGGGGTGAAAATATTTCAATATGGACAACAAGATCTCATTTACTTAAAGGGTACATCTTTACCTCTTTGTAAAAAAATTATATGAAAATATATCTGTCTGAAGGAAAACTCACCAAAGTGGTAAAGTAACTGTCTCTGGAAGGGGTTTCAAAGGACTTTTACTTCACTTCTAAATTGCAGTGTCCTTCCAAAAGGCTACAATGAGCACATAGTTCTAGAATTAATGAAAGCTAAGTTATTTTAATTTTTAAAAATATGAAGAGATTTTAATGTAACGTTTCAACAAAACAAATCAAAATAAAGGCCTGTCAGGGTGCAGCAAGAGATTTCCTACTTTGTAGACTTAGGGTAATAACTGCCTCTACTGTTTAGGGCTGTGGAGTTTGAATAAGACATGCATGTGATACCATCAGCTAAAGGCTTGGCACATAATAAGCACTTAATCAAAACTGGCTGCTGTTTTGATTACCCAGCATATTTGTGACATTTGTCACATCACAACCGCTATCCTCCAGGGTCATGGAGCAGAAGGAAAAGAAAAAACCGCAATCCTCAGAGTGATATAACAGCTAGTCTGAGATGACAGCATGATTCTCTATCCTGTGAAACCTTCTTGGAAGTGGCAGGCAAGGAGGGTGGCAGGCAGCTGGAGAGAGGAGGAGGGCAAAGCAAGGGCCAAAATGCAGTGGTAATTTCCCGGTGCTGCCTACTGTGTCCTCAATGAGCCAGCAAGACTCAGCTCTCTTCTCCCACCTTCTCTCCTGGGTGGACTGGAACCTACCCAAAAACATGCTGGTATTAGGGGTTTTAGAAAGATTTACTGGGATGCCAAGACTGAAAAGACCATGAATACTGCCTTGTTCACTCTGCAGATAAGAGACCTGAGGGTCACACAGGTGAGAGGCCCTCTGAGAACCAAGCGGTCAGCACCCAGCTCAGACTCTCAGTTAGGGGGTGCCCACCCATGCTAATCTTTCCCTTCCTCTCACTGCTCTTTCACAAGTTCTCATTTCCCCCACTGCGTCCTCCTGCTCACGACCTGTCTGACTCTTGAAAGCTCCTTCTCCCCTCTGGTAGCCACAGTTGTCCCCTGTGTCACTCCCTATGGTAAGGGAAGGAACCAGACCTGCCTGAGGAGCACCAGATCGCACAGCTGCCCTTGAGCGGAGTGCTGCTCATGGTGCTCGAGGAGGAGGAGGAGGAGGAGGAGAGAGGGCTGGAGAAGCTGCTGCAGCTGGGCCCCCCTGCCCCCGTGAAGATGACGTCTCAGACTCAAAGGGTCTGAGACCTAGAACTATGACGGTTATGGCATCAATCACTAAGTGAAGACATGCCTCTGCTTCCAACAGAAAAAGCATAAACCATGGTGTGAAATGAGGAGGAGGAGAGGGAAGGGCTCTGAGTTACTCTCTACCTCCCTGGTGACACTGGAGCTTGCCTGAAAACTCTAAGGAAAGGAAGACCCCAGAAGAAGAGGAACAAGTAGATTCAAAAGGAATGAGCAGACTCCATCTCCTGCATTGTAGATGCAGCCGAGATGCTGGGCAGCCATGGCTGAGGAAAGAGCAGAGGCAGTGCAAGGCCGTATTCCTTCCCAAGACACAGTCTCGGCCACGGCAGGGACTGGCCTGGGGCTTACCTTGGGCAGGCTGACTGGAGTCCTGGGCTTGGTCCTGGGGTTCTTAATTAAGAGCCTCTGATCCAGAGGAAGCAGATGGTATTTCATGGCCTCAATGAGGAAGTCCTTACAGGTGTTGTTATTCTTTATCAAAGCTTCTTCTTCCACCGTCTGGAGGTAATAACCCACAGGTGATCCGGGAGCAGAGCTCAGCCACATCCCCAAGCTCTGGCCCTTGGCTGGCTCCCTCCTGAATTCTCACTCCCTCCCAGGCCACCTTCTGGCAGACCCAGGGAAGGGTCCACAGCTCTGTACCTTGATGCTCACCTTCTGGATCTCAAGGGCACAAGGGTTAAGTGATCAAGCTCTAGTATCAGACAGAGGCTCAAATCCCAGCACCAACACTTCATATCTCGGATGCTTAGTTCCCTTATGTTTAAGATGGGCACCTTAAAAGCATCTACAACCTCATTAGCTCTGTTTGTTTTTGAGGCTTCACCGAGTTTATATAAAACAAAACACAAGTAGTTGTCTCTGACGGGTGCTAAGCTTCGATTAGGAGCATGAGAAGTTTTGGAAATGGATACAGCGACAGTTGTACAGCAGTATGAGTGCAGTTAATACTACTGAATCAGACATGTCAAAATAGTCAAAATCACAAAGTTGATGTGATGTGTATTTCATCACAAACTAGTATGCTATATGGTTTGAATAGCAGCTGAAAATGTTTACTAGAAGCCTGACACTGTGAAGCCCAGAAGTCAGGCAGTGAGGGGTGTAGGCTGCACAGAGTTTCTTCTTCCTCCCCTCCTCCTGTATGGGACCAGCCTCCCCCAGAGGTCATACTTGTTGGAAGTTTCAAGGTCAAATGGATGCTAATGAAACACCTTCTCCCAGAGGTAAGCACAGTATAAGGCCTGAGGAAAGCACTTTTCACAAACGGGATTCCATGCAACAGTGCTCAGGCCTGTTGCTGCTGACTTTATTTTCCAGATCCAAACACCACTTTGCCACAAAAACCCAGGAGCTACTTCCCTATTGTCTTCATGAAATTTCAGTTATGGACACCTGATGGAGGCCATACCAAAGGTCTCCAAGCCCTCTTTAGCTTTCTTTGGCCCCTTGGCTGCCCTCCTCCCTGTAGAAGTGGGACTGTGCTAGAAGACAAACACCCACCCCATCCATGGTCAGTTCCCCACAGGACAGCAGGAGGTCTGACAGTGACCCTGGGAGCTCAGGCGTGTGTTTAGGGGGCCTTTTCTACAGGGAGGATATGATGCCACAAGGTGGCAGTAGTGCTGTCCAAGGTTGCTTGCAGAGCCTGTAAGGACTTCTAGAGCATCCTGTAGCACCTGTGAAGAAGGCTGAGATGCAGATCTTCAAAGACCATTTCACTGACCCCTTAGGCCCAGGGCCAACAGTGTCACAAGTGTCACTTTACATGGGCTCATAAGAATATGATGCCACCCACAATCCTAAGCATAGCAGTAATATCAACTAGCATTCACTGAACATTGTGTTATAAAATTTTCTGGATTATCTCATTTTGTATTCCCCCAACCCCCTGGCAAAATCCTATTATGTCAGTTGCTATTTTAGCCAGATGAGAAAACTAAGATTTTAAGGGGTTAAATGGCAAGGAATAACAGGAGCAGGGCTGCCACCTCCTCTCTTAATCCTGTACCACACCTTCTCTTCCTTCCAGAGACCTCTCAGGGACAACTAAGGACTGGCAAAATGCCTCTCTGTTTCATTTGTTTTGTATATTTTAAGGCTCATTTTCTGTCTGCTTGAAAGAGCGTCTAATGACATTTACCATGCGAACAAGCCATGTAATGGATAAGCAGAACAGAGAGTATCGAACCAGACTAATATGGATCTGAATCCTGACTTTCCCTTATACGTGATGGTGGCCCCAGTTCAGTCACAACCTCCACACCTTCAAGGCCCAAAGCTGTGAAGAGGGTTGTAATCTTTGCTTCAAAGCCTTGCTATAAGGATTGGTGACAAAACATGGCACCATAAGGGTCCCCCGTAAGTCTTTTTTTTTTTTTTTCCTTTCCTACAGGAAGTAGAAATAGAATGTGTTCAAAACCCCTGTGAGGAGCTGGTTTTTACAATCCTGACTTGGGCTTCAAGTTGCCTAAAACTATAGCAGAAAGGGAACACAGAAACATTGTGAGAATGACCCTTCTTGCTCTGGTACTCTATAAGAAAAGCCACTAATTTGTATTGAGCTTTTGAAATGTCAGGCTCCATGCTAAACACCTGGCTTGCATACTGACAACTTCTTTAGTCCCCAGTATAGAAGTATAGAACCCCTACCGGGCTCTATTATATCATGTGAGCTAGAAAAGAAGACACTGAGGCTTGAGTGAGAACTCAAGGCTTAAGGAGTAGCACAGCTCAAACTGAAACCTCAGGTTCTCATTCTCAAACCTATGCTCTTCAAATTTCCATTACCAAACCTCACACTTAACCCAGGGGCTGTGCCCTTGGCCCCAGCAGGAGATCCACTAAACTCCTCGATCACACCACACAGCCGGGATTGCCACTGCTGCTCCTGGAGGTCCGGGTGAAAGACAGGCACTCACCTGGACTAAGTAGTCCCTAGGCAAGAGAGGGAGTCGGACGTGTTCCATCAGTTTTGCCATGTGCTCCAAACGGGTCTCTTTCTCATAATTGATCCATGAAATCACAGCTTCAAATACCTATAAAGAAAAGAGACAAACTTTTCAAACAACCTGTTAAAAAATCAGTAAAAAAAAAAAATAGTTACAAATCATCCATCCACAAAGGTGTCTAACCTAAGAGTCAATATTTAAAATAAAAACAGAAAGGACTTGTCTATTAGCTGGCTGAAAGGTGAAGTCACACAACATGACAAACCCGCCACAGCAAATGTAGGATCACCATGGTTTATTCTAAAATAAGACTCAGTTCCAATAGCTATTGGAGGGTAGAAACGCAGAGCAGTAACTGTGAATCAAATGTGTAAAGACTGCTCAAGAGGATCAGAGGCCCCGGGGGCAATGCTATTCTCCCCGCAACACCAGCCTTCTTCATGTATCCCCACGCACAGTTAATACAGAATGAAAACAGTAAGAATCCCCTCTGCCTAAAGCTGGCTGTGACACTGATTGTGACAATGAATGACAGAGAAGCACAAAAATTTCTCTTTGGATTTAACCTCTGTCTTGGTTACTTTTCTCTCGTTGCTGAGACAAAATACTCAACGCCCAAAATGAAGGAAGGAAAGGTTTATTTAGCTTACAGTTTGTGGAGGTTTCAGTCCATACTTGGCTGGCTCCGAGGCAGAAGATAGCAAAGCAACAAGAGCAAAAGGGGAAATGGTAGCTGAACAGCAATGCAGCCAGAGCAAAAGGGAGGAATGGTGGCAAGCAGCTTCTTTCCCTCCCTTACATTGTAAACAGGCTACCTCCACCTAAGGGGCATGTAGCTATCACATAATCTCCATGCCCTCCTCTTCCACAGGCTCAGGATGTATACAAAGTAAGCACCCTGGCTTCCTGCTGAGTCACTCAGCCAAACCTCTAGACTCCCCAAGTTGACACAATGTATCAACCATAACAACCTCTCTTCTGACATTTCATTTCTATGCAAATCAAAACTGGGGGGAGCACCTTGGGACAAAAGGAGGGTCTGCAATTTGCATGTTTGCTTTGCTCAAGGATAAACCCAATTTTAAACCCTGTACCACCACATACACGTAGACAAAAAAAATTCAGTGTTGGAGGGGCTGTAGGAAAAGCAGCGTACTAGTAGAAATTTAATTAATAAATATAGCTTTCTAAGAGGGGAGGGAACGATTTGGCAATATCATCAAAACCATAAATGTTCATGCTCTTTGGACTATAAATACCCCTTCTAGAGCTCTAGCCTACAAAAACACTCACATAAATGCATAAAAATGTGTCCAAGATGTTTGCTGAGCAACATAAGTGTGCAAAAGCATGTGTCATGATGTTTGCTGAGCATTGTTATAACAGGATTAAAAGATGGAGTATTTATAAAAACAGCATTCCACAAGCTACAGTGGTACATACCTGTAATTCCAGCATTCAGAAGGCTGAGGCAGGAGGATCGCCATGAGTTTGAGGCCATCCTGAGCTTAATGTCAGCCTGAACTATATAATGAGATCTTGTTTCAAAAAAAGCCCCTAAAATTTTTAAGTAACAGCCCTACAATTGGTTTCAGCTGTTAAAAAGAATAAAGCCAGATACCTTCTTGTATGAGAAAATATGAATGTGCTCACAAGTTAAAGAGGGCATGTCAAAAGAATGCAGAACAAATGGATGGGGCTTTCATTGCCAATATTTGGGACAATTTAAAAATCAAAGAGAATGAGGAGAAGAGATCAGTGGGGGAGAGAATGACAGGGAAAGATACAAAGGAAACCTTTTGTGGTCATGAATATGTATCTTGACTGAATGGGCTTTAGATGGCATATACATTTGTCAAAATGAATCAAATTATATACTTAATACCTACACATTTCACTGTGTGTGAGCCATACCTCAATATAGAAGTCTCAGTTTTAAAAAAAATACAGTAATGGATCATAACAGAATGAATAAAAGAAGAATCCATGAGTCTATAGGATACTTTAAAAAGCCTAAGGCTCCTCTTTATCTAAAAATGCCAACTAGTAAATGCAAAAAGAATAATAGAATTACAAAAACAGTATTTGCAACCACCAGTGAAAGGACTAACTCAGCAAAGACCACCAATGATGTTAAAATCAACAGTTACTGGGGGTCAGGTGGGTGGTTTATGCCTGTAGCCCCAGGACTCAGGAGATGGAGGCAGAAAGATCACTGTGAGTTCAAGGCCAGACGAGAAAAAAAACAAAAAAAAAAAAAAAAAAAAAAAAAAAGTTATTGGGAAACAGGAAATTTCATCCCACAGATTACATATTATTTACAAAGGGGAAAAGATATCCTAACATATGGAGATCTGACAGTTGCCACCTTAAGCAAGGAATCAAACTTAACCAATAACTGAACAAATTTACTGTTCCGATTGTGATTTAATGGGAAGGATGCAGTACCCTCAGTGTAGTATTCTTCCCAAAATGGTTAACCTGAATCTTACAGTGAGGGAACAATCAGAGAAATCTGTGTTTGGAACATATTACAAAAAGCTAGACTAGGTCCTTCAAAACTTAATAGTTTGTTTTCCTTCCTTTCCTTCTCCCCCTCCCAGCTCACCTGCCCATTTGGACATTTTCTTACTATTCCACAATATCTGTTATAGGTTATTTACACTTTCACTTTCTCACACCAGAGAAACAACATGGTATTTACACATTGTGCCTGATTTATTTCACTTCAGGAATACGGATTCAAGTTGCATCCATTTACCTAGAAATCTCAACCTTATCCTTCTTTATGGAAGAGTAGTACTCCATTGTATTAAAAAAAAAAAAAAACACATATTCTTTATCCATTCATCTGTTGATGGTATTTGGGCTGCTTCCAAGATTTAGCTATTACAAATTGTGTGGCTATAAACATGGTTGTGCATATATCACTATGGTATGATGCTTTTAATTCTTTCGGGAAGATACCAAAAAGAGGAATAGCTGGGTTGAATGGAACCTCTGGTCCTAGTTTTTTGAGGGATCTCCACACTGGTTCCACAGTGGTAGCACAAGTCTACAGTCCCACCAGCAGTGGAAAAGTGTTCTTTTTTCCCCACTCCCAGTACCAATTTTGTCTGTAGTCAGAGTTTGTAAGGGAAGAGATTTAATATAGGACAAATAATTTATAGGATTATTTTATAATATTCACCCAAAAAAGTCAAATGCAGAAGACTGCAAGAGATCTGTCCACACACTAGAGACCCAAAAAATCTAGCTGAGGGCCTGGATCCCACGGCAATGTCCTGCATGAGTTCAAGATGAAGACCTAGAGCCCATGGCAATGTCCACCATGAGTCCAGCTGAGGGCCTAAAGCCTAGAACAGTGCCTCATGCAAGTCTGTACCAAGGATCTGTGCTAGGAAGGCCCAAAGGTCAGTGGTGGGAGCTAGAAAGTTTGTGTCATCAGAGTGAAGGATCTGTGCCAGCAGGCTGAGGGATCTCCACTGGAGCCAGGAAATACTGCTCAAAGTAAGGATCAGAGCTCCCCGGAAGAGAATCGCAGCCATCCTCAGTGATAGCAAAGACCTGAACTCTTCCAATGATAACAACTGAATTCATATCAGGAAAACCAGCATGACAAGCTTCTCCAGGAGACTCAACAGCACCATGTTCCCCTCAGTTTTCCTTTTATGCTGTTGGCAACAATCTTTAGGTGGGCCTTCACACCCAGAACCATGCTGATTCAATTCAAGTGGGCATTATAAATCGACCATTATTCCACCACAATCCACCCCTGGTCAACTTGATAACCAGACACACTTCCTTAAACCATAGTCTCTAGTGGCAGACTTGCGAAAAGTTAACATGTCTTGATCTATTCAGATTTATATTAATAGAACAATTACATATATATAATTCTTATTGCACTCATTTGCACACCAAAAGCAAATATTCAAAACATTCTCAAAATGGAAGAGAAAAGAAAACAGTGATGATAAAAGAAGGAAAAAATGGAATCAAAGCTTTTGTAAATAAGGAAAAGAAAAAGAATCAAGTTAAATCATATACAGGTACAAATTCCCTATAATGAATGTAATCATTATGTATACCTAAAATGTACCCATAAATTTAATTTAAAAAATTAAAAAATTTAAAACAATAGTATGAAAGACCACCCCCCAAAAAATCAAGGGAACTGTGATAGATTAACGAGATTCTGAAACATGGTAAATAAATGGAATGCACACCTCCTTATTGGATGATGGATTTAAAACAAATACCTATAAAGCACTTTGTGGAAATTTGATCTGCCAAAATGAAACTTTGATCTGCCAAAATGAAACTGATTAACCTGCATAACCAATACACACTATGTTGCGGTGGGGGAGCAAAACTGAGTACTGACTATGTTAGATAATATTCCTGTATCAATGTCAAATTTCTTTAGCATAATAATGAGAATGGTTTTAAGGGTAGAAAAGAATTTCCATGTTTTGAAGAGGTGCGTGCAAAAATATTTTGGGTTATATCTGCAATTTATTCCCAAAAGATTCAGCAAAATGAAAGATTAAATCTGCACACAGAAAAAAATGCAGAAAAATGTTAACTAGTGAGTCTCAGGAAAGCTTGTATAGATGTTTATTCAAATGAGAGGGAGAAGAAAAAAATATAAGGGACAATAAGAAAAATAATAAAATTTACAAAACTTAAAAATAAAAACTTTGCTGGAGGAAAACACTCCCATTTTTCTTAATTGTATGTTTTTATATAGAGACAAATTAGTGATGTTTTATACCTAAAAGACTTGGTCCTATTTCCTGAACAAATATGAAGTCAAACTGGCATAACTTGAATTGAACAAAGAATTGGTCGGAGAGGAAAGAGAAGGGAATAAAGTCAGATGGTGGGGAGAGACTGATAGCCAGGTACAAAGGGATAGTTCGATAGAAATGAAAAGTTCTGGAGTGGTACTGCACAAACAGATGACTGTCGGTAATGATAAAGTACTGCATATGTCCAAAACCTGGGAGAAAGACCTTTTCATGTTTTCACCATAAAAAAAAAATGCTAAGTGTTTGAGGAGACATATATGTTTAACCTCATTG